GTGTTGCAGAAAGAGAGAGTGTGTTGCAGAAAGAGAAAGTGTGTGTTGCAGAAAGAGAGAGTGTGTTGCAGAAAGAGAGAGTGTGTTGCAGAAAGAGAGAGTGTGTTGCAGAAAGAGAGAGTGTGTTGCAGAAAGAGAGAGTGTGTTGCAGAAAGAGAGAGTGTGTTGCAGAAAGAGAGAGTGTGTTGCAGAAAGAGAGAGTGTGTTGCAGAAAGAGAAAGTGTGTTGCAGAAAGAGAAAGTGTGTTGCAGAAAGAGAGAGTGTGTTGCAGAAAGAGAAAGTGTGTTGCAGAAAGAGAGAGTGTGTTGCAGAAAGAGAAAGTGTGTTGCAGAAAGAGAAAGTGTGTTGCAGAAAGAGAGAGTGTGTTGCAGAGAGAGAGAGTGTGTTGCAGAGAGAGAGAGTGTGTTGCAGAAAGAGAAAGTGTGTTGCAGAAAGAGAGAGTGTGTTGCAGAAAGAGAAAGTGTGTTGCAGAAAGAGAAAGTGTGTTGCAGAAAGAGAAAGTGTGTTGCAGAAAGAGAAAGTGTGTTGCAGAAAGAGAGAGTGTGTTGCAGAAAGAGAGAGTGTGTTGCAGAAAGAGAAAGTGTGTTGCAGAAAGAGAGTGTGTTGCAGAAAGAGAGAGTGTGTTGCAGAAAGAGAGAGTGTGTTGCAGAAAGAGAAAGTGTGTTGCAGAAAGAGAGAGTGTGTTGCAGAAAGAGAGAGTGTGTTGCAGAAAGAGAGAGTGTGTTGCAGAGAGAGAGAGTGTGTTGCAGAAAGAGAGAGTGTGTTGCAGAAAGAGAGAGTGTGTTGCAGAAAGAGAGAGTGTGTTGCAGAAAGAGAGAGTGTGTTGCAGAAAGAGAAAGTGTGTTGCAGAAAGAGAAAGTGTGTTGCAGAAAGACAGAGTGTGTTGCAGAAAGAGAGAGTGTGTTGCAGAAAGAGAGTGTGTTGCAGAAAGAGAGAGTGTGTTGCAGAAAGAGAGAGTGTGTTGCAGAAAGAGAGAGTGTGTTGCAGAAAGAGAGAGTGTGTTGCAGAAAGAGAAAGTGTGTTGCAGAAAGAGAGAGTGTGTTGCAGAAAGAGAGAGTGTGTTGCAGAAAGAGAAAGTGTGTTGCAGAAAGAGAGAGTGTGTTGCAGAAAGAGAGAGTGTGTTGCAGAAAGAGAAAGTGTGTTGCAGAAAGAGAAAGTGTGTTGCAGAAAGAGAGAGTGTGTTGCAGAAAGAGAGAGTGTGTTGCAGAAAGAGAAAGTGTGTTGCAGAAAGAGAGTGTGTTGCAGAAAGAGAGAGTGTGTTGCAGAAAGAGAGAGTGTGTTGCAGAAAGAGAGAGTGTGTTGCAGAAAGAGAAAGTGTGTTGCAGAAAGAGAGAGTGTGTTGCAGAAAGAGAGAAGTGTGTTGCAGAAAGAGAGAGTGTGTTGCAGAAAGAGAGAGTGTGTTGCAGAAAGAGAGAGTGTGTTGCAGAAAGAGAAAGTGTGTTGCAGAAAGAGAGAGTGTGTTGCAGAAAGAGAGAGTATGTTGCAGAAAGAGAGAGTGTGTTGCAGAAAGAGAGAGTGTGTTGCAGAAAGAGAGAGTGTGTTGCAGAAAGAGAAAGTGTGTTGCAGAAAGAGAAAGTGTGTTGCAGAAAGAGAGAGTGTGTTGCAGAAAGAGAGAGTGTGTTGCAGAAAGAGAGAGTGTGTTGCAGAAAGAGAGAGTGTGTTGCAGAAAGAGAGAGTGTGTTGCAGAAAGAGAGAGTGTGTTGCAGAAAGAGAGAGTATGTTGCAGAAAGAGAGAGTGTGTTGCAGAAAGAGAGAGTGTGTTGCAGAAAGAGAAAGTGTGTTGCAGAAAGAGAGAGTGTGTTGCAGAAAGAGAGAGTGTGTTGCAGAAAGAGAGAGTGTGTTGCAGAAAGAGAGAGTGTGTTGCAGAAAGAGAGAGTGTGTTGCAGAAAGAGAGAGTGTGTTGCAGAAAGAGAAAGTGTGTTGCAGAAAGAGAGAGTGTGTTGCAGAAAGAGAAAGTGTGTTGCAGAAAGACAGAGTGTGTTGCAGAAAGAGAGAGTGTGTTGCAGAAAGAGAGTGTGTTGCAGAAAGAGAGAGTGTGTTGCAGAAAGAGAGGGTGTGTTGCAGAAAGAGAGAGTGTGTTGCAGAAAGAGAAAGTGTGTTGCAGAAAGAGAAAGTGTGTTGCAGAAAGAGAGAGTGTGTTGCAGAAAGAGAGAGTGTGTTGCAGAAAGAGAAAGTGTGTTGCAGAAAGAGAGAGTGTGTTGCAGAAAGAGAGAGTGTGTTGCAGAAAGAGAGAGTGTGTTGCAGAAAGAGAGAGTGTGTTGCAGAAAGAGAGAGTGTGTTGCAGAAAGAGAGAGTGTGTTGCAGAAAGAGAAAGTGTGTTGCAGAAAGAGAGAGTGTGTTGCAGAAAGAGAAAGTGTGTTGCAGAAAGAGAGAGTGTGTTGCAGAAAGAGAAAGTGTGTTGCAGAAAGACAGAGTGTGTTGCAGAAAGAGAGAGTGTGTTGCAGAAAGAGAGTGTGTTGCAGAAAGAGAGAGTGTGTTGCAGAAAAGAGAGAGTGTGTTGCAGAAAGAGAGAGTGTGTTGCAGAAAGAGAGAGTGTGTTGCAGAAAAGAGGAAAGTGTGTTGCAGAAAGAGAGAGTGTGTTACAGAAAGAGAGAGTGTGTTGCAGAAAGAGAAAGTGTGTTGCAGAAAGAGAGAGTGTGTTGCAGAAAGAGAGAGTGTGTTGCAGAAAGAGAAAGTGTGTTGCAGAAAGAGAAAGTGTGTTGCAGAAAGAGAGAGTGTGTTGCAGAAAGAGAGAGTGTGTTGCAGAAAGAGAAAGTGTGTTGCAGAAAGAGAGTGTGTTGCAGAAAGAGAGAGTGTGTTGCAGAAAGAGAGAGTGTGTTGCAGAAAGAGAGAGTGTGTTGCAGAAAGAGAAAGTGTGTTGCAGAAAGAGAGAGTGTGTTGCAGAAAGAGAGAAGTGTGTTGCAGAAAGAGAGAGTGTGTTGCAGAAAGAGAGAGTGTGTTGCAGAAAGAGAGAGTGTGTTGCAGAAAGAGAAAGTGTGTTGCAGAAAGAGAGAGTGTGTTGCAGAAAGAGAGAGTGTGTTGCAGAAAGAGAGAGTATGTTGCAGAAAGAGAGAGTGTGTTGCAGAAAGAGAGAGTGTGTTGCAGAAAGAGAGAGTGTGTTGCAGAAAGAGAGAGTGTGTTGCAGAAGGAATGTGGCAGAAAGAGAGTGTGTTGCAGAAAGAGAGAGTGTGTTGCAGAAAGAGAGAGTGTGTTGCAGAAAGAGAGAGTGTGTTGCAAAGAAGTGTGTTGCAGAAGGAGTGTTGCAGAAAGAGAGAGTGTGTTGCAGAAAGAGAGAGTGTGTGAGAAAGAGAGAGTGTGTTGCAGAAAGAGAGAGTGTGTTGCAGAAAGAGAGAGTGTGTTGCAGAAAGAGAAAGTGTGTTGCAGAAAGAGAGAGTGTGTTGCAGAAAGAGAGAGTGTGTTGCAGAAGAGAGAGTGTGTTGCAGAAAGAGAGAGTGTGTTGCAGAAGAGAGTGTGTTGCAGAAAGAGAGAGTGTGTTGCAGAAAGAGAGGGTGTGTTGCAGAAAGAGAGAGTGTGTTGCAGAAAGAGAGAGTGTGTTGCAGAAAGAGAAAGTGTGTTGCAGAAAGAGAAAGTGTGTTGCAGAAAGAGAGAGTGTGTTGCAGAAAGAGAGAGTGTGTTGCAGAAAGAGAAAGTGTGTTGCAGAAAGAGAGAGTGTGTTGCAGAAAGAGAGAGTGTGTTGCAGAAAGAGAGAGTGTGTTGCAGAGAGAGTGTGTTGCAGAAAGAGAGAGTGTGTTGCAGAAAGAGAAAGTGTGTTGCAGAAAGAGAGAGTGTGTTGCAGAAAGAGAAAGTGTGTTGCAGAAAGAGAGTGTGTTGCAGAAAGAGAAAGTGTGTTGCAGAAAGAGAGAGTGTGTTGCAGAAAGAGAAAGTGTGTTGCAGAAAGAGAAAGTGTGTTGCAGAAAGAGAGAGTGTGTTGCAGAAAGAGAGAGTGTGTTGCAGAGAGAGGGACCACGGCAAGTTTCAAATCCACCTCAGTCTGAGTCTGAGTCCTGAGTCCACAGAGTCCTGAGTCCACAGAGTCCTGAGTCCACAGAGTCCTGAGTCCACAGAGTCCTGAGTCCACAGAGTCCTGAGTCCACAGAGTCCTGAGTCCACAGAGTCCTGAGTCTACCAAGTCTGGGTTCAACATGGATCACTATTTGGTTTGGTCTCTCCTGGTTTCTTCTGGTTCTCCTGGTCTCTCCTGGTGTTCTCTCTCCTGGTGTGATAAAGTCTCAGAGACACATTACTCTTTGGTGTTTCATGGTTTATTGAGAAAATGCTCGGACCATGAACCAGGAAGTCATGGTTTATCATCGAAACAAAATATATCCACACATTTCATTAGCACCATGTGAGAAGAGACCAGAGAGAGACCAGAGAGAGAGACCAGAGAGAGACCAGAGAGAGACCAGAGAGAGACCAGAGAGAGAGAACAGAGAGAGACCAGAGAGAGAGACCAGAGAGAGCCCAGAGAGAGACCAGAGAGAGAGAACAGAGAGAGACCAGAGAGAGAGACCAGAGAGAGACCAGAGAGAGAGACCAGAGAGAGACCAGAGAGAGAGACCAGAGAGAGAGACCAGAGAGAGAGACCAGAGAGAGACCAGAGAGAGAGACCAGAGAGAGACCAGAGAGAGAGACCAGAAAGAGAGACCAGAGAGTGAGACCAGATAGAGACCAGAGAGCGAGACCAGATAGAGACCAGAGAGAGAGACCAGAAAGAGAGACCAGAGAGCGAGACCAGATAGAGACCAGAGAGAGAGACCAGAGAGACACCAGAGAGAGAGACCAGAGAAAGACCAGAGAGAGAGACCAGAGAGAGACCAGAGAGAGATCAGAGAAAGACCAGAGAGAGACCAGAAAGAGACCAGAGAGAGACCTTCATTGTAGTAGCAGTCAAAGTAGTAGTATCCAGAGTTGCCCAGTACAAGTCTCTTGGGCTCTTTGCAGTGATAGAAGTATTATTACTACTAGTACTAGTAGAATTCTTCAGTATTCCAAGTTTTCTGCAGTGAAGTGCTGTTGAGATGTTGGCTCGCAGCAGCAGCAGCAGCAGCAGAGGTCAGGTGCTGCTCACAGTTGGGGTCTCCTCGGACTTGGGGCGAGTCCTGGACCTGAGCTCCTGTGACAGGGTCCACACACCAGCACTCTCCTCTCTGTCCCCGGAGAGACATGTTACACTGGACACAAGAGAGAGAGAGACCATCAAGAGAGACAGAGACACCAGAGAGAGACCAGAGAGAGAGAGAGACCAGAGAGAGACCAGAGAGAGACCAGAGAGAGACCAGAGAGAGAGACCAGAGAGAGACCAGAGAGAGAGACCAGAGAGAGACCAGAGGGAGACCAGAGAGAGACCAGAGAGAGACCAGAGAGAGACCAGAGGGAGACCAGAGAGAGACCAGAGAGAGACCAGAGAGAGACCAGAGAGAGACCAGAGAGAGAGACCAGAGAGAGAGACCAGAGAGAGACCAGAGAGAGAGACCAGAGAGAGACCAGAGAGAGACCAGAGAGAGACCAGAGAGAGACCAGAGAGAGAGACCAGAGAGAGAGACCAGAGAGAGACCCAATTGTAATTTCATTTCAGTAAAACCAAAGTTTCTGAACTTCTTCCTCAGTGTTTCCTCCTGAAGCATCAGACCCTGGTCGTTCTCCAGGACAGGGTCCACATGGTGCCTCCCCCTCCCTCCCTCCCCCCTCCTGTGGATGAGGCAGCAGCTCTCCCCAAACCCAAAACAATAACACCGGGGTTTGGCCTGAACATTGTGGGAAGACTTTTGTTCGGAGGAGCGCACTGTGCTTCCGATTCTGAGGCTCTGAATTTAAATTTTCCTTTCTCTTCCCTTCGTCTCTGTTCACAAATCACCCATGACACGGACAAACAAATCAGGCAGAAAAGACGATCTGAATCATTTGAGAATGAGCCCAGGACCCGGGGCCAAAACAAGCACATTGTCTGTGGTTCCCAGGGGCCGGACTGTACCACGCCTCGGCCTGCGCTCCCTGGACCTGTCCCTGCGTCTAATTACTGTAACTGTCACTGTGTCCTGCGGGGGGGGGGGGGGGGGGGGGGGGGGGGGGGGGGGGGGGCTGCAGGGGGGGGCCGCGGGGGAGGTGCCGTGTGCTCTCGGGGGCCGCGGCGTAAAGCGCGTCAGATTCAATTAGAGAGAGCGCCCTGCGGGGGGCGCCGGGCATGTGCAGCTAGAACACAACAACATGTGTGTGTTTGTTATGGTGGGTTTACCAGTGGGGCTGTGGGGGAGGACAGGGGGGGGGGGGGGGGGGGGGGGGGGGGAGGAGAGGGAGGAGAAGAGAGGAGAGGGAGGAGAGGGAGGAGAGGGAGGAGAGGGAGGAGACAGGAGCCATGTGGAAGAGAAGTTGGCAAAACCAAACTGGGTATGAAAATACTAACACAGAATGTATACTTTACTATACTAACATGCTAAAGACCAGAGAGAGACCAGAGAGAGACCAGAGAGAGACCAGAAAGAGACCAGAGAGAGACCAGAGAGAGAGACCAGAGAGAGACCAGGGAGAGACCAGAGAGAGACCAGAGAGAGACCAGAGAGAGACCAGAGAGAGACCAGAGAGAGACCAGAGAGAGACCAGAGGGAGACCAGAGAGAGACCAGAGAGAGAGACCAGAGAGAGACCAGAGAGAGACCAGAGAGAGACCAGAGGGAGACCAGAGAGAGACCAGAGAGAGACCAGAGAGAGACCAGAGAGAGACCAGGGAGAGACCAGAGAGAGACCGGAGAGAGACCAGAGAGAGACCAGAGAGAGACCAGAGGGAGACCAGAGAGAGACCAGAGAGAGACCAGAGAGAGACCAGAGAGAGACCAGAGAGAGACCAGAGAGAGACCAGAGAGAGAGACCAGAGAGAGAGACCAGAGAGAGACCAGAGAGAGACCAGAGAGAGGTCAGAGCATTTTATTGACAAATAGAAACTAAGCTTATAAAGTAATGTTACATTTATTGTGTCTTCTTGCAGTGTGTGTGTGTGTGTGTGTGTGTGTCTTCTTGCAGTGTGTGTGTGTGTCTTCTTGCAGTGTGTGTGTGTGTGTGTGTGTGTGTGTCTTCTTGCAGTGTGTGTTTTTGGCACATGACGTGATGTTGTGGTGATTTGGGGGCATGCCTCGGTTCTTGCCTGTGATTGGCTGAACGCGGAGCCCCACCCATAGCATGCCTTTGCTCTGGACCAATGAGGAGCTCGGTTTCATTCAGACGCACAACAAAAGGCTGCGTGTGTGAGCTGTGGGCGTGTCCTTTGTGTCTCAGCAACATTGAACACATTTATTTGTATAGAACAGTCGTAGATCAAAAAGAAAAGACAGAAAAGAAAAAAGAGAGATTTAGGTTGTTTCATAAAAGTGAATTTTAAAAAGTTATTTTAAAAAGTACTGATGGTCTCTCTCTGGTCTCTCTCTAGTCTCTCTCTGGTCTCTCTCTGGTCTCTCTCTGGTCTCTCTCTGGTCTCTCTCTGGTCTCTCTCTGGTCTCTCTCTGGTCTCTCTCTGGTCTCTCTCTGGTCTCTCTCTGGTCTCTGTCTGATAAAATTCCTCCTCTGTCAAACCTCTCGGTCTAACACTAATGCAACTGTTCAGCCCCAGAGTCCAACACACCCATTCTCTCGCACATTCCTACACCTGTCGTCTCAGTCCTGGGTCTACAGCCTCAGTCCTGGGTCTACAGCCTCAGTCCTGGGTCTACAGCCTCAGTCCTGGGTCTACAGCCTCAGTCCTGGGTCTACAGCCTCAGTCCTGGGTCTACAGCCTCAGTCCTGGGTCTACAGCCTCAGTCCTGGGTCTACAGCCTCAGTCCTGGGTCTACAGCCTCAGTCCTGGGTCTACAGCCTCAGTCCTGGGTCTACAGCCTCAGTCCTGGGTCTACAGCCTCAGTCCTGGATCTACAGCCTCAGTCCTGGGTCTACAGCCTCAGTCCTGGATCTACAGCCTCAGTCCTGGGTCTACAGCCTCAGTCCTGGATCTACAGCCTCAGTCTCAGTCCTGGGTCTACAGCCTCAGTCTCAGTCCTGGGTCTACAGCCTCAGCCTCAGTCCTGGGTCCACAGCCTCAGCCTCAGTCCTGGGTCTACAGCCTCAGTCTCAGTCCTGGGTCTACAGCCTCAGTCTCAGTCCTGGGTCTACAGCCTCAGTCTCAGTCCTGGGTCTACAGCCTCAGTCTCAGTCCTGGGTCTACAGCCTCAGTCTCAGTCCTGGGTCTACAGCCTCAGCCTCAGTCCTGGGTCTACAGCCTCAGTCTCAGTCCTGGGTCTACAGCCTCAGTCTCAGTCCTGGGTCTACAGCCTCAGTCTCAGTCCTGGGTCTACAGCCTCAGTCCTGGGTCTACAGCCTCAGTCTCAGTCCTGGGTCTACAGCCTCAGTCTCAGTCCTGGGTCTCTGGACCTGAGGGAGTCCTTCATCGTCCTCTAACACTCGACTTCAACCTCGTCAAAAAAATGATTTAAAAAAATCATAAAAACCTGAGCAGAGGAGACAGGAGGAGGAGGGAGGAGGCAGGAGGAGAGAGGGGGAGGCAGGAGGAGGAGGGGGAGGAGGAGAGGGAGACAGGAGGAGGAGGGGGAGGAGGAGAGGGAGACAGGAGGAGGAGGAGGAGACAGGAGGAGGAGAGGGAGACAGGAGGAGGAGAGGGAGACAGGAGGAAGGAGGAGGGAGACAGGAGGAGGAGAGGGAGACAGGAGGAGGGAGGAGGGAGACAGGAGGAGGAGGAGGAGACAGGAGGAGGAGAGGGAGACAGGAGGAGGGAGGAGGGAGACAGGAGGAGGAGAGGGAGACAGGAGGAGGGAGGAGGGAGACAGGAGGAGGAGAGGGAGACAGGAGGAGGGAGGAGGGAGACAGGAGGAGGAGAGGGAGGAGGCAGGAGGAGGAGAGGGAGACAGCAGGAGGAGGGGGAGGAGGCAGGAGGAGAGAGAGGGAGGCAGGAGGAGGAGGGGGAGGAGGAGAGGGAGACAGGAGGAGGAGGGGGAGGAGGAGAGGGAGACAGGAGGAGGAGGAGGAGACAGGAGGAGGAGAGGGAGACAGGAGGAGGAGAGGGAGACAGGAGGAAGGAGGAGGGAGACAGGAGGAGGAGAGGGAGACAGGAGGAGGGAGGAGGGAGACAGGAGGAGGAGGAGGAGACAGGAGGAGGAGAGGGAGACAGGAGGAGGGAGGAGGGAGACAGGAGGAGGAGAGGGAGACAGGAGGAGGGAGGAGGGAGACAGGAGGAGGAGAGGGAGACAGGAGGAGGGAGGAGGGAGACAGGAGGAGGAGAGGGAGGAGGCAGGAGGAGGAGAGGGAGACAGCAGGAGGAGGGGGAGGAGGCAGGAGGAGAGAGAGGGAGGCAGGAGGAGGAGGGGGAGGAGGAGGAGACAGGAGGAGGAGGAGGAGACAGGAGGAGGAGAGGGAGACAGGAGGAGGAGAGGGAGACAGGAGGAAGGAGGAGGGAGACAGGAGGAGGAGAGGGAGACAGGAGGAGGGAGGAGGGAGACAGGAGGAGGAGGAGGAGAGGGAGACAGGAGGAGGGAGGAGGGAGACAGGAGGAGGAGAGGGAGACAGGAGGAGGGAGGAGGGAGACAGGAGGAGGAGAGGGAGACAGGAGGAGGGAGGAGGGAGACAGGAGGAGGGAGAGGGAGGAGGCAGGAGGAGGAGAGGGAGACAGCAGGAGGAGGGGGAGGAGGCAGGAGGAGAGAGAGGGAGGCAGGAGGAGGAGGGGGAGGAGGAGAGGGAGACAGGAGGAGGAGAGGGAGACAGGAGGAGGAGAGGGAGACAGGAGGAGGAGGAGAGGGAGGAGGCAGGAGGAGGAGAGGGAGACAGCAGGAGGAGGGGGAGGAGGCAGGAGGAGAGAGAGGGAGGCAGGAGGAGGAGGGGGAGGAGGCAGGAGGAGAGAGAGGGAGGCAGGAGGAGGAGGAGGGGGAGGAGGCAGGAGGAGAGGGAGACAGGAGGAGGAGAGGGAGACAGGAAGAGGAGAGGGAGACAGGAAGAGGAGAGGGAGACAGGAGGAGGGAGGAGGGAGACAGGAGGAGGAGAGGGAGACAGGAGGAGGAGAGGGAGACAGGAGGAGGAGAGGGAGACAGGAGGAGGAGAGGGAGACAGGAGGAGGAGAGGGAGGAGGCAGGAGGAGGAGAGGGAGACAGCAGGAGGAGGGGGAGGAGGCAGGAGGAGAGAGAGGGAGGCAGGAGGAGGAGGGGGAGGAGGCAGGAGGAGAGAGAGGGAGGCAGGAGGAGGAGGGGGAGGAGGCAGGAGGAGAGGGAGACAGGAGGAGGAGAGGGAGACAGGAGGAGGAGAGGGAGACAGGAAGAGGAGAGGGAGACAGGAGGAGGGAGGAGGGAGACAGGAGGAGGAGAGGGAGACAGGAGGAGGAGAGGGAGACAGGAGGAGGAGAGGGAGACAGGAGGAGGAGAGGGAGGAGGCAGGAGGAGGAGAGGGAGACAGCAGGAGGAGGGGGAGGAGGCAGGAGGAGAGAGAGGGAGGCAGGAGGAGGAGGGGGAGGAGGAGAGGGAGACAGGAGGAGGAGAGGGAGACAGGAGGAGGAGAGGGAGACAGGACGAGGAGAGGGAGGAGGCAGGAGGAGGGGGAGGAGGCAGGAGGAGAGAGAGGGAGGCAGGAGGAGGAGGGGGAGGAGGCAGGAGGAGAGGGAGACAGGAGGAGGAGAGGGAGACAGGAGGAGGAGAGGGAGACAGGAGGAGGAGAGGGAGACAGGAAGAGGAGGGGGAGACAGGAGGAGGAGAGGGAGACAGGAAGAGGAGGGGGAGACAGGAGGAGGAGAGGGAGACAGGAGGAGGAGAGGGAGACAGGAAGAGGAGAGGGAGACAGGAGGAGGAGAGGGAGACAGGAGGAGGAGAGGGAGACAGGAAGAGGAGAGGGAGACAGGAGGAGGAGAGGGAGACAGGAAGAGGAGAGGGAGACAGGAAGAGGAGAGGGAGACAGGAAGAGGAGAGGGAGACAGGAAGAGGAGAGGGAGACAGGAAGAGGAGAGGGAGACAGGAGGAGGAGAGGGAGACAGGAGGAGGAGAGGGAGACAGGAAGAGGAGAGGGAGACAGGAAGAGGAGAGGGAGACAGGAGGAGGAGAGGGAGACAGGAGGAGGAGAGGGAGACAGGAAGAGGAGAGGGAGACAGGAAGAGGAGAGGGAGACAGGAGGAGGAGAGGGAGACAGGAGGAGGAGAGGGAGACAGGAAGAGGAGAGGGAGACAGGAAGAGGAGAGGGAGACAGGAAGAGGAGAGGGAGACAGGAGGAGGAGAGGGAGACAGGAGGAGGAGAGGGAGACAGGAGGAGGAGAGGGAGACAGGAAGAGGAGAGGGAGACAGGAAGAGGAGAGGGAGACAGGAAGAGGAGAGGGAGACAGGAGGAGGAGAGGGAGACAGACAGGAAGACCCCAAACCACCCCAAAACAACCCAAACACCCCCCCACAACCAAACACCAACCAACCACCCCCACCACCACACCAACAAACCCCCCCCACCCCCCCACCCACCACACCACCCCCCACCCCCCCAACACCCCCACACCACCAACCACACCCCAACCACACACACCAACAAACAACACCCACCAACAACACCAAACCCCCCCACCCACCCCACCCCCCCCCAAAACACCAATCCCCACCCCACACCAACCCCCCCCCCCCCCCATTCCCCCATAAATCACCTACAACAACCAATCCCACCCACACCCCCACCACACACCAACCACCCCCCCACCCCACACCACCCCCCCCCCCCCACCCCCCCCCCCACCCAACCAACCCACCCACAAAAAACCCCCCCACCCCACACCACCCCCACAACCCCACCAACAACCCCCTCAATACAAACCACTACTAACAAACCTCATATCCCAAAACAAAATAAAACAACACAAAAACCCCACAACCACACACAACCAAAACACAACACATCCAAACAAATTCCAAACTCTATAAACCAACTCACTACATACCAACTCCTACAAACCTCATACAAACCACAAAACACCCACCACAATACCAACCACCCTAAAACCACCACATCCAAAAAACCCACAAAATAACCCACACAATAAAACACACTCTAAAACAACACACCTTAATACAACTTTTACATACACCCACTCTTTTAAATACCACATCTTTCATAACCCACTCATATAATACCCACTCTTAAATACCCCCCCTCATTACCCATCACACTCTTATACTCCCATACTATTATACCCCACAACATTAAAATATCCCCCCCCACCAATAACAACCTCAATTATTTCCCTTCTCATCCACCCCCCCACACCCCCCCCAAACCCTACCCCCCACCATATACCCCCCCCCCCCCAACCAACCCCACCCAAACCCCCCCCAAACCAAACCACTAAACATCACCCCCCCCCCAACCCCCTCTACACACTACCCCAAACCCACCAATACTACCACCCACACCCCAATCCCATACAACCCCCCACAAACACACCCCAAATCCCAAACTACCAAAACCCATACCCACTCTCCCACAACACCCCTTACCCAACTTACTCACTCCCCCTCCAACCCCCACACCCACCACAACCCCCCCCAAACACTATACTAACCCAATCACCAAACACCACCCCCCCCCCACAAACCAACCTACCAACACCCACCACCCCCAAACATACCAACCCAACCACCCCCCCCCCCCCCCCCACAACACACCCAACTCAAACCCCACACCCCACCCCCACCCCCTAACATCCCAACAACCCATCACCCCCCCCCCCCCCCCCACAAACCCAACCAACCCCAACCACCCCCCCCCCCCAAACAACCAACCCCCCACCCCCAACCCCCCCCCCCCCCCACACATCCAACCAAACCACAACCACCCCCCCACCTCCCACTCAACCCATCCCACCAACCCCCCCCCCCCACCCACACAACCAACCCATATACACCACCCCCCCCCCCCCCACACAACCACCCCAACCCATCCCCCACCCACCCCCCAACCCACAAAACCAAACAAACCCCACCCCCCCCCCCCCCCCCCAAAACCCTACCCAAACCAACACCCCCCCCCACCCCCAAACACAAAAACAAACAAACCCACCCACCCCCCCCCCCCACAAAAACCTACCCCCAAAAAAACCCCCCCCCCCCCCCAAACACCCAACAAACACCACCACCCACCCCCCCAAACAAACCCAACCAACCCACCCCACCCCACCCCCACACAACCAACCAACCCAACCCCCCCCCCCCAACACAACCCAACCATCCCCACCCCCCCCATCCCCCCACACACCAACCAACCACACCCCCCCCCCCCCACAAACACCAACCCAACCCACCCCCACCCCACCCACACAACACCCCCAACCCACCCACCCCCCCCCACCACACACCCAACCAACCCACCCCCCACCCCCCCCCAAAACCAACCCAAACCCACCAACCCCACCAACCCCCCCAAAAACCCAACCCCAAACCCACCCCCCCCCCCCCCACACACAACCACCAAAAACCAACCACCACCCCCCCCCCACCCTAATCAAACAACCCCCAACCCCAACCCCCACACCCACACCCCACCCACCCACCACACCCCCCCCCCCCACCCCCCCCCACACACACCCCAAACACCCCCCACCCCCCCCCACCCCCCCCCCCATACACCTACCCCCACACCACCCCCCCCCCCCCCAACCACCCCACCCCCCCCCCTACACCCACACCAACACCCCCCCCAATCACAAAACCCCCCCCCCCCCATCCACCAAAACCACACCCCCACCAACACCAACCCATCAAAACCCCCTCTCACATACACCCTCCCAAAACCCCAATATAATCTCTAAAACCCCCCCACCACCCCATAAATAAACCCCCCCCCCCCACAACCCCTACAAAAAAACACTCCAAACCACCACACCACCCCCCCAATAAAATCCCCCCCCCTCATAACAACACTATTACTTCCACACCCCAATAAAACCCCCAACAAACCCCCCTATAGTCTAAACAATACTACAATACAAACCCAAACACCAAACCCTCCCTAATATTCTACTCCTCCATCACCCAACATTAACCCCACTTAATCCCATTCTAACAATTTCTCCTAAAAAACCCCTACCCACCAAACACACACCCCACCATCACCCTTTTATACCCCCAACAATTATTCCAATAATTCTCATACCCCCCACCATCCAACCCCCAAAACACATTAATATAAACCTCCTATACATAAACTCAAAAAATTAACCCTCATTACAAACCACTAATAAAACAACCACTCAAACATACCACAACTTCATTAATAAAACTCATAAATACACAACTCATACATCACCACATTAATACCCAACTCCTTACAAAAACTCCATCAAAAACAATATCTACCAACACCTAAAATAAACTCTTACTACCCAACTATAACTTCAACACCTTACACCACACTCATTACCATAAAACTCATTACATACACACTCTTTACATACCAACTCTACATAAACACTCATTACTACCAACTCATCACCATAAACTCATTAATAACTCTATAATAACCCTCATTAAATAAAACACATAAAATAATAACTCATTACTACCCCACCACTATTACATAACAACTCCTTAATACAACTCATTACATACCTTCTCATAACCCATACCCACCTAATTACATAACCACTCATTAATAAACACTATACCATAAACTCATTACCATACACATCATTAATACCAATCATTACATCACACCACTCATTAATACCAACTCATTACAATACCCAACTCATTACCATACCACATCATTACATACACACACTCATTTACATACCCACAATATTACATAACCAACACTCATTACATACACTCATCACTAACACTCATTACCTACACCAACTCTTAATACCAACTCACCTTTTATACCAACAAAATACTTTTTCCCCCACCCACACATCACACCCTATTTTCCCCTTCTCATAACCCCCACCCCCCCCCCCCTACCCCCCCTCCCCCCCATAATATCCCCCCACCCCCCAAACAAACCCCCAACCAACCCCCAACACCAAACACACCTAAAAACATAACCCCAACCCATACCATTCCAATTAAACCAATATCCCACCATACTTCACCAACCCCCCACAACCCAACCCCAAAACAACCCCCAACCCCACACCCCACTTAACAACATCAACCCATACCACCTTCACCCCATACCCCCTCCAAATACTCACACCCCTCCACCCCCCACCCCACCACCCAAAAAACAAACCATCCCTTCCCAACCCACACCCCACCACCAAACACCCATCCCTTCACCAAAAACACCCAACCCCAACCCCCCCAAAAACCCTCACCATTCCATAACACCCCCCCCCACACAAATAAACTTACAACACAAACCACCCCCCCACCACAAAAAATCCCCTACATTAACATAACAACACCAACCCAAACCCTATACATTACCTTACATTAACATAACAACACCAACCCCCAAACCCTAAACTATTACCCCCAAATAACCAAACCACACCACCCCCAACCCCTATAATCCACCAATAACCTAACAACACCACCCACCCACATCACCCCACCATAAATAACAAACCCACCCCAACCTATCTACCTACCAAACCCAACCCACCCCCCCCCCCCACCACCCTTACCAACCCATCCCCCCCCCCCCCCCCAACATCCCATACCTTAACCACACCACAACCCCCACAAAAAACCAACCATCAAACTAACACCACACACCCACCCCCCCCCCCCCAACCAACACCCAAAACCCACCCCCCCCCAACAACCCCCCATCCCAATCCATAAAACCCCCCCCACACAACCAAAACACCCCAACCCCCCCCACCAAACACCCCCATCAACAACTACCATAACCCCCAACCCACCCCCCCCACACCAAAACCCTCCAACCCATCACACACCACACCTACCATACCCCCCACCCCCTACACCCTCTCCTCCTCACCCTCCTCACACCACAAAAACCACCCCACCACCTAATATCTAATTATCACTTAAATCTTAATATATAAAATCTAATAAATATTATAACATTCCCCAAAAAACCTTCCACATTAACCCCCAAAACACAAACCCCCCCAAACCCAACTTAACCTCCACCAACCAACTCCAACACACTCATCCCAAATCTCAACCCACCCACCCTCACCAACCATACCCCAAACCACCACCTCCCCCTCATCAATTTATCTTCCCAACCAAAAAAATTAAACAAACAAACACCCCACCCCCCCCAAACCCACCATAAACATACAACCACACAAACACACCCCCCCCCCCAATCCAACCAACCACAAAACCATAACACCCCCCCCCCACACCCCCCCAACCCCAAAACCCTAAACCCCCCCCCCAATATACCCCCCCATACACCAAACCCAACACCCCCCCCCAACACCCCCCCACCACAAACCCCCACTCCCCCCCCTCCCCCCAATAACCCCCCACACAAAAACCAAAACACCCCCCCCCCCCAACACCCCCCCCAACACAAACACCATCACCACCACCCCAACCCCCCAACCCCACACCAACACCCTAATCACCCCCACCCCAACCCCCCCACCCCAACCCCACACCCCCCCCCCAACCACCCCCCCCACCACCAACCCAACACCCCCCCCCACCCAACAACCCACACAACAACCAACACACCCCCCCCCCCCAAACCCCCCCCCCACCACAATCACCACATCCCCCCCCCCAACCCACCCCAACACAAAACCCCTACACCCCACACCCCCATCCCCCACCACATCACCACAAAAAAAAAAACCCAAACCCCACCCCCACACCCAACACACAACCCCCCAACCCCACACAACCCCCCACCCCCCCCCACCCCCCACCACACCAAATACCCACCACACCCCATACCCCATCCCCTCCCCCCCCCTCCCACCAACCCCCCCTAAACCCCCCCACAACCCACCCCCCAACAACCCAACCAAAAACCCAAACAACCCCCCACCCAAAAACCCCAACACCCCCACAACCACAACACAAACATCCCCACCACCACAAACAAAATCACACACCAACCTTAACCTATTAAACCCCCACACACACCCACCCACACAAACCACCCCACACACCACCCCCACTCCCCCTCACCACACAATTACCCTCCCCCCACACTCCACCCCCATATCCTCCAACACTATACCCATCCCCCCCAACATATATCACACCAACACAAACCACCCACAAAACCACCCCACACACACACCCCACACCCACCCCACACATCCCCACTCCTACCCACCCTCTCTCCCACCCCAACTCTCCTCCCCAACTCAAACCTCCCCACCACTAACACCCACATAACACCACCCCCACACTCCCTATCCCCACTCTCCATCCCCCAAAACCACCACACACACCACCCCCACAAACACCCCACAAACCACCCCCACACACACCACCAAAACCACCCCACACACACCACACACAAACCTCCCACCACTATTACCACCACCACACATCCCCCCACCCATACACACCCCACACCACCAACACACCATCCACACAACACACCCCAAACCATCAACTCTTATCCACCAACATTAACCTCCACTCTTTCCCCTCCCCACACACCCCACCCCAACACCACCCCCACACACACCCCCACACACACCCCCACAACCCACCACCCACACACCACCCCACACACACCACCCCCCACACACCACACCCACAATACCACCCCCAACTCAAATATAACCCCAACACAAAAAAAAACAACCACACCACCACACCAACAAAACCCCCATACCCCCACACCCCCCACCCCACAACCCCCTACTACTAAACACAACCCAACCCAACAAACACTACCACTCAAAACAACAACCCACATAAAACCTACCACCCCCCACCCACCCTCCCCAATCCCCCACTACAAACACATCACCCACACCCCTCACCCCTCAATACCACCCCTACATACTACACTACTCTTCACTAACATTATATAACCTTTCCTACATATTACCCCCCACTCCCATCCACCTACCTTCCCCCCACTATCATCTCTCTAAATACACCCCAACCCTAAACTCCAATACATCACCCCCCCACCCAAACCCCCCCCATAATCAATCCCCTCATCATCATACCATCATACCACCACACAATTTCACCACAATCCCCCACACCTCTTCAACAATCTCTAACAAAATCACAATACTCAAATAACTACATCCAATAAACCAAATCACACCATCACCCCCCCCCCTTAACACACCCCTACCCCTACAACATACACAACACAAAACCCAATACCAACCCACACCCCCACTCCCATCATCTCACACACCACACCCCACCCAACTACACCACAACCCCCCCCCACCCATCCACCAAAACAAAACAAAAACAATCACCCCCCACCCATTCCAACCTATCCTCCTAAACAACTCACCCCCCCCCCCCATACAACCATCACATAAACCAAAATCACCACCCACCCATCCCCCCCATCACCTACCCCAAACACCACCCCCCCAACCACCCACCACCTTCAACCAAAACACCACCCCCACCCCCCAAAAAACCCCACCACCATAAACATATCACCACCCCCCATCCACCCAAACAACCAAAACCATCACACACCCACCCCAACCAACCCCCCTACTCTTAACCATCATAACCCCACCCCCAATCAACCAACCCCCATCTCCATTAACCCAAACACCACCCCACCCCATCCCCAACCACCATAACCAAATCACCACCCACAATCCCCCAACCCCCCCCCCCATCCTCAATACACCAAAAACCACCCCACCCCATCCAAACCCCCCTCCTATTAACCAATCACCAACCACCCCCAATTCCCCAACCCTCCTCAATACCCATATCCCCCCCCACCCCATACCCACCCCAATCCTACATTAACCAAATCCCCACCCACCCCCATTCCCCAACCCCCCCCATCCTCATTCACCCAATACCACCCCCCCCCCCCCATTTCCACCCCCCATCCTCATTAACCAAATAACCACCCACCCCCCATTCACCCCCATCCTCTTACATATCACCACCACCCATTCCACCCATCCTCAATGACCATATCACCCCCCCACCCCCATTCCTCCCCCATTCATTAACCATATCACACCACCCAAATCCAACCCCCCCATCCTCATTAACCATATAACCACCCCCACCCCCCATTAAACCCCCCATCACATTAACCATATCACCCCCACCCCCATACAACCATCCTCATTAACCAAATCACCACCCCCCACCCCTTTCAACCCCCATCCTCATTAACCATTCACCCCCCACCATTACCAACCCCCCATCCTCATTACCATATACCACCCACCCATATTCAACCCATCTATTAACCATATTCACACCCACCCCCCCCCCCATTTCAACCCCCAATCCTATTCACAAAACCCACCTAATCCCAACCCATCCTCATACACATAACCCACCCCCCCATTCAACCCCATACTCATTAACCCTCATCATCAACAAACATCTCACAAAACCCACCACCCCAAACCCAATATCTCTCACAACAATACCAATCTAACCCCCCTCACCCCCCCCACAACCCACCACAATTCTCCCCAACACCAAACCACCTACCCCATAACCACCCAACCAAAACCCCACAAACCCCACATAACACCCATACCCCAAACTACAACCCATACCCCAATCCCCCCCTACCACCCCCCACCCCACATAACAAACCCCCCCCCCCCCACCTACCAATACCCCCCTAAAAAATTCCCACAAAAATACACTAAATAACTACAAACACAACAACATCCACCTCATAATCCCCCAACACCATCACCCCACTACCTACAAACAAAACCACCACACATACCCTATCCCACAAACTACCCCCTATCTCCATCCCCTTATCCTACCACCACTTCCCCTACCACACACTAACACTTCAACTCAATCCCTCACACTCTTTCCTCCACACTCACCTCCCACACATCTATCCTCCCCACCTTTTTTACCTCCAACTCATCCTCAACCACTTTTCCCCTCCCCCCACTCTAATCCACCAATAATACCATCCACCACTAACCTCCCCAAAATCCACCACTCAATTATCATCCACTCTCCACACCACTATCCTCCCCCCCTCTAACCACCACCATTACCACCCCCCACATAACCTCCCACCACTTAACCCACACCCACTTTACCACCCCAACACCTCCCCCCCCCCAACCTCATTTACACCCCCCACTCTCCCACCCTCACTCCCTCTCCCCCAACCACCCCTCCCCCCAACCATCCAACCCCATCCAACACAAACCCACCCACAATATATATAAATAAAACCACCTTTCCCCCCCAAACCAACCCAACACATCAAAACTCAACTCACAATAACCCACATCCCACCCCCCCAAAAACCTCAAACAACACATCAATTCAAATCTCTACTCAATTACTCAACAATTAATACAAAACCCACACTAACATCCAATAACTAACACCCCCCCCTACTTCCTCCACCCCCCCCAACCCCCCAACCTAACCTCCCCATCTTACTCAACCCCACCACCCCAAAACCTACACCCCCAAACACACACACCAATCAATACAACCATCCCTCTCCTCTAAAACCACAAATATCTCACAAAACCCCAAAACCAAAAAACCAACCAACCCCCCCCCATAATCCACCCCACACCCCAAACCCCTACCCACCCCCAACCATCACCCAAACACACACCCCCCCCCCCCCCCCCCACTAAACTCCCTCCTAATAAAAAAACTTTAAATATAAACCCCCACCTCCCCCCCTAAAACCACACTAATCCCCACCCCCCCCCCTAACCCCCCCCCCCCATCACCCCCCACAACCACCCCCAAAATACCCCCACCCTCCCTCAAAAACCCCAACAACACCCAATACTACTCACCTCCACCCCCCAAACCAAACACTAACTCACACACACACCACAATCCCCACCATCAACCCACACAACACAACCACCCCCCCACACCCCCACCAACCCACACCCCCCCCCCAAACCACCAACCCCCCCCCCAACCCCACACCCCACCCAACTAACCACAAACAAACCACACACACAAACCACCAATACACACACCCAAAAAACCTACAACATCCAACATCAAACACCAACCCAAAAAACCCCACCCACTACCACACATAAACCAAACCTAATATACCAATACCAAACACACACCCCCAAAAACACCCACACACCCACACATTATACTATTTAAACAAAACACCATTAACACCCAACCCCCTACCCCCCACCCAACCCCACACACCAAACACCAAACCCCACCTACCACCCAACCCCACACCCCCACCAACCCCAAAACCCCCCCCCCCCACACAACCCACTACCAAACAACATTCCAACCCACCCCATCAACCCCCCCCCCCCCCCCACCACCACACAAACCAAAAACACACCCCCCCCCACCCACCAAACCTTACAAACCTCCCCAACACACACACACCACACATACAAAACAACCCCAATTACCAAAACTACTCCTCAACAACCACCCACCCACCCACAAAAACCCACCCAACCCCTAAACCACCCCCCCCCAACACCCCACCCACACCCCACCCCCCCAATAGCTCCCCCACCACCCACCCCCACAAACAACACCAAACCCCCCCCCACCCCCCACCCACCCACCCCCAACCCCAACCAAATAAAATCCCCCCCCCACACCACACCAAACCCCCCCACCACCCCCCATCAACCCCATACCACACATTCTACCACCCCCCACCCCCCCTACACAAAAAACAAACACAACCACCCAAACACCCTAAACTCCACTAAAACACACACCCACCAACAAAACCCACCCCCTACTATCCCCACAACCCCACATCCCCAACACCCAATCTCCCCCCCCACAACCACCCACCCCCCCACCCCCCCATCCCCACCAACACCCATCACCAACAAAACCCACCCCATAAACAAAATAAAACTACTCTCACCCCCCCCCACCCCCACCAAAAACTCATATTAACCATAACTACCAACTCAATACCCACAAACCCACAATCCCCAAAACAACCAACCCCACACCCCCCCCAACCCCACCCCCCCCCCACCCCCCACCACCAACCCCCCACCTCAACCCCCCCCCCCCCCCCCCACCCACCAACCACCCCCCCCCCCCAACCACACCAACACCCCCCCAACCAACCCACCCCCCCCAAACAACCCCCCCCCCCCCCCCCCCCCCCCCAACACATCACACCACACCAACACCCCACCCCCCCAACCCCCCCCCCCCAAAAACCCACCCCCCACCCCCACACACCCCCACCCCACCACACCACACACCCACCCACACAAACCCACCACCACCCACCACAACCCCAACACAATATTCACAAACACAAAACACAACACACCAACAAACCAAACACCCCACCCCACCAACACAAAAACACAACATACACCACCCAACAAACAACCAATCACACCCAACATTAAAAAACCCACCACCCCCCCCAAACCACCCACCAAAACCCACACCCCCAAACCCCACACCACCCCCCCACCCCACACCACCACACCCCCCACACCCATACCCCCCCCCCCCCAACCCCACAACACCCACCCCACCAACACCAAATAACCCCCACCCCCCCCACCAAACCCCCCCACACCCACCCACCCCCCCCCACAACCAACAAAAAAACCAACCAACCACAAACCCCCCCAAACAACCTCACCCATCATCCCAACAACAAACCCCAAACAACTTCAAACACATCACCACCCCCCCCCAAAACCAAACACACACCCCCCCACCCACCCCCCCCCCCCCCCCCCCCACCCACCACCCACCACACCCACCCCCCCACCCCCCCCCCACCCCCAAACACAACCAACCCACCACACAAAACACCCCCCCCACCCCACCACCCAAAACCCCCCACAACCACAACCACCCCACCCCACCAACCCCACAACCCACCCCCACCCCACACACCCCACCCCCCACCACCCCCAACCCCCCACCACCCCCCACCCCCCCCCACCAACACCCCCCCACCCCCCCCCCAAACCCCCCACCCCACCCACCCAAACACACACCAACCCCCCAACTCCCCCAACAACACACCCCCCCAAACCCCACACCCCCCCAAAACACCCAAACCCCACACCACCCCACCCACACACCCAACACCCACACCAACCCAACACCCACCAACAACACACCCCAACATACCCAACACCCCACAAACCAAACATAACATCACATTCCCCAACCCCCACCCACAACACCCCCCCCCCCCACCCCCCCCCCCCCCCCCCCCCCCCCCCCCCCCCCACCCCCCCCCCCCCCCCCCCACCCCAACCCAAAAACCCCCCCCCCCCCCCATCTCCCTTCCCTACCACCCACCACACCACACACCAACAAACCCACCCCCAACCCAACAACCACCCACATATACCCAAACCCCACAAAACACACCACACACATACCACATCCCTAACACAAACACCACCACAAAACACAAAAACCAAACCCAACCACACAAACCCCACCAACCCCCACCCCCCACAAAAAAAACCCCCACACCCCCCCCCAACCCCCACCACCCAAAACCAACCAAACCCCACACCCCCCCCCCAACCACCACCCCCCCCCCCCCAACCCCCCCCCCCCCCCCCCCAACCCCCCACCAACACACATCCCCCCCACAAAACCCCCCCACAACAACAACAAAACAACCACAAAACCACCATAAACCACCCTAAAAATAAACCACAACCACCACACAAAACTACCAACCAACCAAACCAATAAAATACCCAACAATACCAACACTCATTCCTACCAAACATTAAACAAAAACTCCATAAAACCCCACCAAATTCATTACACACTCAATCCACCACTCATACAAAACTCAATCCAACCACACCAACCCCAAACCACAAAACCCCAAACAACCACACACATCATCCCCACAAAACCACCCCACCAACAAACCCCACATAAAAACCCCACCACCAAACTACCCCTACTAAACCCACACTAAAAACACACAACTAACTACCCAAAAACACCACAATACCTACCACTCTTAACCAAACCCCCACATTAAACCACCTCAAAATACCCCACACCCAAAACAAACCACCCCCCCAACAAAAACCCCCCCCCACCCCACAAACAACCAACACCACCCCCCCCCCCCCCATCCCCCCCCCCAACCCCCCACCCACACCCCCCCACCACCCCCACCACCCCCAACCCCCCCCCACCCCCACCCCCCCCACCCCCCACACACCCCCACAACCCCCCAACAACCCCCCCCCACCCACACCCCAAACACCCACCCAACCCACCCCCCCCACCACAACCCCAAAACACCAAACCACCCCACACCCAAACCCCAACCACAACACCACCCCCACCCCCCACACCCAACCCCCCCCCCACACAACAAACCAACACCAAACCCCCCCACCCCCCCACACTACCCTACCAACCCACCCACCCCCCCCCCCCACAAAACAACCAACCCAACCCCCCCCCCCCCCCACACAAACACCCAAACACACCCACCAACCCCAAAACATCAACCAAACCAACCCCCCCCCCCCCACCTCAAACCCAAACCCATAAACATCACAACACCCAACCACACCCCCCACTATCTCACCAAACCATCCCCACCCAACCCCAACCACACCACAATTACCATCATAACCTACAACACCCCCCCCCACCAACACCTATACCCCAAAACAAACCAACCCCACCCCCCCACCTCAATACAACCCAAAAAATACCAACACCCCCAACCACCCCAAATAATACCTATACCATTAACATAACACCACCACCCCAACAAACTTCCTACAATAACCTACAACACCCCCACCCCAAACCTATAAACCATACCATTAACATACCAACCCCACCCCAAACCTATATTACCTTACTACACATCCCCCCCCCAACCCCACAACTATTATTACATCCATTACCATACAAAAATCCCAACCCCCCACCAACATAACCAAAAATCCCAAAACCACCCCCAACCCCACACACTCACCACAAATACCATACCAATACATCACAACACCCAACCCCCCACAACCTATATTATACCCCTTAACTAACACCACCACCCCACCCACCACAAAACCAACAAAACAACACCCACCCCAACCCACACAAAACCCAAAACTAACCCAATCACCCCCCCCCACCAAACCAATAATCCCTTCCCATCAAACCCAACCCCCACAAAAAAAATACCTAAACAAAAACTACCACCACAACCCCCCCAACCTCAAATCCCAATCCCAACACCAACACCCACAACCCCCATCACAACTACAAAAACAACCCCCCCCCAACCCCACCCCATAAACCTTACCCCCCCAATTAACATAACAACACCACCCCCACAACTCTATTAACCATTACCCATACTAACCACACCACCCCCCCAACCATTTTACTAACCTTACATAACAAACTCTCCCTCACCCCATCCCCCTCAACCTCAACCCATACCCCCACCCACCCCCCCTAAACCAAAACCTCCATCCTCCCCCTATAACATAAACCCACCCCATCCCATACCCCCCCCACCACCCCCACCCCCAAATCTAAATACCCACCCCATAAAAACCCACTTACCCTACCCATACCCCCCCCCCCCCTCCCCCCCCTCCCTCCCCTCCACCTCCTACCCCACACATCACTAAACCTACCCCACCCCCCCATCCACTTATCCCCACCCCCTCCCCCACCCCTAAAACACCCCATTTCCAAAATACCCCCTTCTCTAAAACCCACCCCACCACCTCCATAATATACTAAAACCCCCCAAACCCCAAAACTTATCTCATACCATCCCATAATAACTCCATACTAACCCCCAAACCCTCCTATCACCCACATCCAATTTCCCCCCTCCATCCATATAACCTTTCCCCCACCTATAACCAAATAAAACCCCAAACTACACCCCCTACCAACAAAAACTTCTACATACTCACCACATAACACACTCACCCACAATTAAATATACCTCCTCTTTCCCCCCATCTTCCAAACCATCCCCTAATCCAATCTTATATCTTACAAACCAAAACCCCATACCCCAACAAACAACAACCCCACCCATCTCCTTATTACCCCAACATTTATATATTTCTTTAACTCTCCATCAACTCAAATAATATACCACATCATAACATAAAATCATAATAAAACTACATTACCATACAAACTCCTTAATACCCCAAACTCTTAATAAAACTCATTAATACACACTACATAATTAAACACTTCATTACATAAAACTCATTACATACACCTATACATAAACTCATTACATACACCACTCATTTACCCATAAAATCATTTAATAAAACTACATAAATACACACTCATTACATAAAACTCTTACATAAATCTTACATAAACATCATAATAAACACTTACCTACCACATCATTATAAAACTCATTAATACAACTCATCATACACACTCATTACATACCCCCCAACTCTTACATCAACTCCATTACCATAAACTCAATAATACACTCATTACATACAACTCAATTACATACACCACACTCTTACTAACACTCATTAATCCCACCTATACATACCACATCATTACATAACACTCATTACATACACAACTCAATTAATAAACACATTACCATAAACTCATTACATACCAACTCATTACATAAACACTCATTACATACCCACACACATTACCTTCCCCACACTCATTACATACCAACTTCATTACATAACACACTCATTAATACCACACTCATTACCATACACCAACTCATTACATACCACACTCATCACATTACACAACTCATTAATAACACACTCTTTACATACCCCAACTCACTTAAAATCCCCACCACATTCAAATTCCACCCCACAAAACAACCACAAAATCCAAACACAACCCCCCCCACACCCCCCCAAACCCCCCCCCTACAAAAAATCCCCACCCCCAACCTCACCCCCCCACCCCCCCCCACAAAACCACACCTAAAACATAACCCCCCAACCCATACCCCTATCTAAAACCACTCTCCCCACCATACTTACAAACCCACACCCAAATCCCATTACAAACCCCACAAACACAACCCTAAACTTCCCACAAAACAACACTTAACACCCACTACCCAACCCCCTAACCCAACTAACACACTCCCCCCATCCAACCCCCTCCCCCATCAACCCAAACTATATAACCTAACCCCTTACCAAACCAACCAAACCCCAACCCCCCACTACTCCATTACATTAACATAACAACACCCAACCCCACCCCAACCCCCCCAATAATACCTTCATAACATAACAACAACAACCCCCACCACTATCTAACCTTACATAAACAAACAACACCCAACCCCAAACCCAATATTACCCAACATTAACATAACAACACCCCACCCCCCAAACAAAATACAACCCCCCTTACATACCAACACCCCACCCACCAATAAACTTCCCATTAACCTACCCACACCCCCACCCCAAACCCCAAAAATACCTCAAAACATAAAACACCCCCCAACCCCACAACCCTATATTACCTACAATAACATAAAACACCCCACCCCACCACCAATATACTTACTCCCATACCACCACCCCACCCCACCCAACAAACCTCAAAACCATAAAAACCCACCCAACCCCAATATCCAACCATAAACCAACCAATCACCCACCCCCCACACTAAAAACCCAAACAAACCATCCCCCCCCCCCCACACCCACCCCCCCCCCCACCAACCCCCCCCCAACAACCCACCCCCCCCCCACCCCCACCCAACAACAACCCACACCAACCACTAAAACCCCCACCCCCACCTCAACCACCCAACCCTCAACACCACTCAAAAACCCACCAACCCCCCAACCCCCCCCCCCAACTCAAAAAACCCCCAAAACACCACTTACCTACCCCCCCCTCAACCCCCCACCCCAACACCACACCACACAACCACCCCCAACCAAAAAAACAAATCACACACCTCCACACAAAACACATATCATACCCAATCCAAAATATTATAAACAACCCAATCAACATAACCACAATCCCCCCAAAAACACACCCCTAAACCCCCATTACATATCATTCAAACCATCCAAATCATACAAAACCCACACCCAAACCCACACCCCACACCCACACCCAAACCAACCCCCAACACCAACCACAACAAAATAACACCCACCACCAAACTTCACACACTCACCCACCCACCATCCCCCAACCACCCAACACACACACTCCCACCCCCCCATACAACCCCCCCACACAAAAACCCTATCACCCCCCACCCAACAACCCCATCCATCATAACCCAAAACACACCCCCCAATAACCCCACCACAAACCCCCCTAAACCACCCCCCCTACCCCACCCATCCTCATAAACCATATCACCACCCACCCCCCTACCCCCAACACAAAAACCCTCACCCCCCCCCCCCAAACCACCCCAACAAATAAACATATACACCTCCCCCCCACCCAATCATACCCCACACAACACCACAACCACCCACCCTACCCACCCCCAATCCACAAACACCCAAAACACACCACCCATACAAACCCCAATCATTACCATATACCACCCACCCATTCCAACCCCCTCCACAATAAACCAACTAACCCACCCCCCCCAAACCCCCCAACCACATTAACCCACATACCACCCACCCATTCCACCCCATCCTCAATAACATATCACCACCCCCCCCCCCTACCCCCCCCACCACCATCACCTATAAAAAATAATACACTCACCAAAAACCCACCAACAACATAACACAACCACACCCATACCAAACCCCCCACCCCCCCCCCCCAACCCCCCCCCAACACCCCCACCACCCACCCCCCAACCCCTACCACAAACACCAACCCCCCCACACCCCCCCTCACAACCCCACCCCCACCCACCAACCCTCAACCCCCAACACCCCCCCCCCCACACCACAACACCCCCCACTATCAAACCACCCCAACCCCCCCAAACACTCAAAATACTTCAAACAACACCACACATACTCCAAAACAACCCCCACAAACCCCACACCATATCCACCCACACTACCTCCCCCACACACACCCCCCACAAACCACCCCCAAACCACCCCACAAAACACCCCCACACAACCACCACCCACAAACCACCCCACAAACCCACCCCCCCACAAAACACCCCAACACCACCCCACAACCACCCCCACCACCCCCACACCACCCCACTACCACCACCACACCACCCCCCACAAACCACCCCCCACAACCACCCACACCAACCCCAACAACCCCACACCCACCCTAACCACCCACACAACCACCCCCCAAACCACCCCACAAACACCCCCCACACCACACCCAACAAACCCCACCCCCCACACTCAACCACCCAAACCAACCCACTAACCCCACCACACACACCAACACAACCACACAACCACCCACACAACCACCCCACACAACCACCCCCAACCACCCCCAAAACCACCCCCAAAAACACCCCACAAACCAACCCAACAACACACCCACACAACACCCCCCCACACACCACCCCCAACACACCCACCACACACCACCCCCTACACCACCCCACACACAACCCACAACAAACCCCCAAACCACACAAAACACCCCCACAAAATACAACCAAACCAACCCAAACAAAAAAACAACAACCCCCCCACCCCCCAAACCAAACCCCCCAACCCACAACCATCAACACATCACTAACATAACATCCAAAACTCCACAACCCCCATAACACACCACCCCCCCCCCACCCCCCATCAAAACCCCCCCCACCCCCACATATCACCAAACACCCCCTCCACCCCCCACCAAAACCCAACACAAAACCACTACCCACAACCTCACACAAATCCCAAACACCAAACCCCCCCCCACCACAAACCACACACATCAAACACACCCCCCACCCCAATTACACCCCAATAAATCTCCCCCCCTCTCAAAACCCCAAAATCACACACCTCTCAATCATCACAACATACACCACAACACAATCATACCCCCTCCCAACTCATACTAAACTCTAATCTAATTAACAATCCAAATAAAAATAATAATTCACTAATACCCATACCCTATTACCCCCCCCTTACAACTAAACCCCCTCACCAATTCATAACCACAAACAATACCAAATATCATACACACAACCCCCTCTCCCCATAATCCCCACTACTAACCTCCATCCCCTAACAATCAAATCAACCCACACACCCCCATCCTCCACCTTCCACCACCACCAACCACTCTCACCACCCCCCAATAACACAATACCTCCATAACCCTCACACCCCCCACCATATCAAACCTCACTTAACCATATCACCCCACCCCAATACCCATCACAATAACCAAATCACCACCCACCATTCAACCCCCCCCCAACCTATTAACTATACACCACCCCATTACAACCCCATCCTATCACCATATCACACAACCATTCATCCCATCCTCTTCACATCACACCCACCATTCAACCCCCCCCCCATCTCTTAACCATATCACCACCCACCCCATCCAACCCCATCCTCATTAACAAATATCACCACCCCCACCATTCCAACCCCCATCCTCTTAACCATCTCACCACCCCACCCCATTCCAACCTCCATCTCATTAACATAATCACCACCCCCCCACCCCATTCCCCAAACCCATACACAATTAACCCAATCACCACCCCACCCCCATTCAACCCCATCCTCAATAAACATATCACACCCCCCCATTAAACCCCACCACCTCATTAACCAATCACCACCCCCCCCCATTCCCAACCCCCCCTCCTACATAAACCATATCACCACCCACCATTCCCACCCATCTCATACCAAATACCCCCCACCCCCATTCCCAACCCCCCATCCTCATTAACCAATCACCACCCCCCCCCCTTCCAACCCCCATCCTCATTCACATATCACCACCCCACCCCCATTCATACCCCCCATTCCTCATTAACCATAGCACCACCCACCCATTCCACCCCACCACAAAACCAATTCACCCACCCCCCCAACCCCCCACCTCATTCACCAAAACACCACCCCCCCTTCAACCCCACACTACACCCACAACCACCCCCCATCAACCCCCCCCCACACAATAACCATATCACCACCCACCCTTACCCAACCCCAATCCTACATAACCTAACACCCACCCCAAACACCCCCACTCCAATACCATAACCCCCCACCCCATACACCCCATCACCAAAACCCACACCACCACCAATTCCCCAACCCCAACCTCATTACCAACCATCACCACCACCCATTCCAACCCCCCAACCAATATAAAATCAACACCTAACACCACACACCACAACCCCCCCCAACAAAACACTCACACAAATACCCACAACCCCCCCCCTCCCCCCCCCAACAACCCACCCTATACCCACCAAAACCCCATCCCCCCCACCCCACAACCCCCCAACCCCCCCCAAACCCCCACCAAACACCCACCACCCCTCCCCCTACAACAACCCAAACCCTATAAACCATCTAAAACCACCCCAAAAAAACCTCACCCCCCCCAAATTCCAAATACTAACAACACAAAAATAAACCTCTCACATAAAACAAACACCTAACAAAATCAAATTCTAACCCCCAACTCATCCCATACAACTATCCCCACCCACAAACCACCACTCAAAACCCCAAACCACCACACAACCACATAACCACAACTCTAACACACCAAACCACCACCCACTATCCATACCACCCACTTTCACCCACCATCACACCAACTCTTTCCTCCAACAACATTCCACCCACACTATCTACACACAATTCTCCCACACACACAACATAACCACCACACTACAAACATACCAACACAACCAACAACACAACCATCCCCCACACAACACAAACCACCAACATAAACCTACCACCAATTACCACCACCTCAAACTCCACACTCAAACCTCCCCAACTACTTATCCCTCCCCACACAACACACTACCCCCCCCCACAAACCCCACCACACACCCCCCCCCCCCCAACTCACACCCACACCCCACCCCCCACCACCCAACCACACCCCAACACACAAAACACACAATCTTAATAAAAAACACCCTTTCCCCCAACCCACCCACCACAACCAAAAATCCCCACCCCACTACCCACACTCCCACCCCCAAAAATACCAAACCCAACACATCTAACATTAAATAATTATCACCCAAATACATCACAAAACAACATCTAACCCTCCCAACACCTATACCCCCCCCCCCCCCCTCTACCCACCACCAACCCCCCCCACACCCCAAATCACCTACCCTCCTCACTACACCACCCCCCCCAAAAACCCTCAACATCAAACACACACCCCACTCAACACACCATCCCCCATTCTACTCTACCCCCATTATACACAACCCTACCCCAACCACTTTACTAATACCAAACATATCCCAACCCCACCCAACCAACAACCACCCACTAAACCATACCATCCCTTTCCAAACACCAACACACCACCCCCCCCCCCCCCCCAATACTCCACCTTTCCCATAACCTTATTAAAAACCACACACCACACCCTTACCCAACTCACCCCCCCCCCCCACACAATCACCCCCCCCCTATACCCACCCCCTACCCCCCCCCTACATCTACCCCACTACAAACAAACCCAACACCAATCCCCAACATCACACTAATCACCCCAAACACCACCTCCAACCCCTCAACAACCACAATCCCTCAAAACAACACTACCCACCCCTCCACCACAAAAATAACCTATCCACCCCATATCATCCCCCACCCCACCTACACAACACCCCACCAAAAAACCAAAAACTAACCTACTCAAACCACCCAAATATAAAACAACTAAAAAATTATCACCTCACACCCTAAAAACAACCTAATTACCCCCCAACCCACTACACACATACCCACACATACCCCCCATATACCCTCATTTACTTACCATTAAAAATCAACCACCTTCATCCACCCACACCCACCTCACTATTTTCTTCTTATATATAATACTAACACCCATTTCTCACTCTAACCCCCCACCCCCAACCCACCACCACACCCACAACTCAACCATCCCCCACCAAAACTACACACCCAACAACCCCCAACCACAAACCCCACAACCCACCCCCACATCCACTACACTACACATATAATCCACCAATACCCCATCAACCCCCCCCCCCCCCCACACACCCACACCAAAACCACAAAAACCCCCCAACCCAACCAACCAACCAACCCATCCCCCTCCAAACAAATATCACTATACCTTCAATAAACCAACCCAATACATACACTTATCCCAAAACACAACACCAACCTATTAATCCCTCCCTACATCCCACCCCCCCAACACCACCCCATCTTAACCAAAAACCCCCCCCACATTATACACCAAAAACCTCCATTCTCCTCTACACTAAACATACCAACCCCCCATTTACCCCCCCACCCTACATACCCAACCACAAACACAACCACCAAAACTAAAAAAACCCCCCCTAACACCAAAACACTATCCCCCCCCCCAACACCAAACCCCCTACCCACTCCACCTCCAAACCCCAACCCTAACCACATTACAATATAATAACCCCCATCTAACCAAAACACAAACCTAAAACAACTAACAAACATCAACACAAACACACACCAAAACACACAACCACCCCACCACACTCATACCCCCAACAAACCCCCTCCACCCAACCACCCACACACAATCAACCCCCACAAACAAAACCAAAAACACCCCCCACCCCCCCCCCCCACCACCAAACACCAACACCCACAAAACAACCCCCAACCCCCACCCCAAACCACCAACCCACCCCCCCACACCCCCACACCCCCCCCACCCCCCCCACCTCAACCCACACACAACCCCCCCCCAACCCCCCACAACACCCCCCCCACCCACCCACACCAACCCCCACAAACCCCCCCACCCCCCAACCATACCCCCCCACTACCCCCCCCCCCAACAACACACCCCACCCACCACACCAACCACACCCCACCACCACACAAAAACACAAACCCCACCCCCTCAACACCCCCCCCCACCCCAAAACAAAAAACACCCACACTCAACACACCACCCAACCAACCAACACAAAAAACACAAACACCAACACAACACCCACAAACCACACACCCCACCCACCAACAACACAAACACCACACCACCACAACAAACACAACACACCAACAACCCCCCCCACAACACACCCACCACAACCCCCCCACCCCCCCAACACCACACCCCCCACCCCCACCCCCACAACCACCCCACACCCCCCCACACCCAAACCCCCCCCCCCAACCCCACAACCCACCCACCCCCAAACCACCCCACACACCCCCCCACACCACCCCCCCCCACAACCCACAAAAACAACCCCACCACCCCCCCCCAAACACACCCCCAAACCCACCACCACCAACAACAAAACCAAACCACCCCCCCACACAAACAAACCCCCCCCCCCCCCCCCCCCCCCCCCCCACCACACCCCAACACACCCCACCCCCCACCCACCCCCAATAACAAAACCAACCACTCCAAACACCCCCCCCCCCACCAACAAAACCCCCCAACAAACCAACCCACCCCAACACAACCACCCCCACCCCCAAAACCACCCCCCCTCCCACCCCCCAAACCCCCCCCACCCCCCCCCCCCCCACCCCCCCACCCACAAACCAAAACCCTCCCAACCCACCAAACCCCCCACACCAACCACCCCAACAACACAAAAACCACAACACCCCCCCCCCACAAAACCACCCACAAATCACCCCCCACCCCCCCCCACCCCCAACCCACACCCACTACCACAAACACCAACACCCAAAAAACCACACACACCAACACACACAACCAACAACCCAACACCCCCAAACCACACCATAACATAAAAACACCCCACCCCAAAAACCAACCCAACTACCACCCCCCACACACACCAACACCCCCCCCACCACCCCCACCACCAACACCCCCCACCACCACACCACCTCACCACCACCCCACACCCAACCCCACCACCAACAAAACCACCACCAAACAACACACAAAACCCCCCACCAACCCCACCCACAAAACCAACCACACCCCCCCCCAACCCCAACACCCCACTCACCATCCACTCCCCCCACCCCCCACCACACCCCCCCCCCCCCACCCCCACCCCCCCCCCCTCCCCCCCCCACCCACCAACCCCCCCACCACACCCCTCCACCCCCCCCACCCCACCCACACCCCACACCAACCACCCACAACCCCACCCCCCACCAACCACCCCAAAAACACCCCACCAACCACCCCAAAACCAACCCCACAACCACAACACAACCACCCCAAAACCACCCCCACAACCACACAAACCACCCCACAACCACCCACCAACCACCCTCAAACCACCCCACAACAAACCCCCCAAAACAAACCACTAAAACCCACAAACCACCCCCCATTAACCCCACCTACCAAAAAAAAAAAAAAACAACACACCCACATAACCACCCACAAACAACCCCACAAACAATAACCCCAATAAAAAACCCAAAACCACACCTATACACCCCAATACAAACAACCACACATATCAACCCCCACAACTACAAAAAACCACCACACAACCCAAATTTTTCCATCTCCTCAACACCCCCCCCCCCCAAACCCCACCAAAACTACACCCCCCCCAACAACCCAACCCCCCCCCCACCCACACCCCACCCACCCCCCCCCCCCTACCCCACACAAACCACCAAACCCCCAAACCTTCCACACCACACCAAACCCCCAAACAACCCCCACCCCATCCCCCCACCCACCCACCCAAACACCAACCCCTCAACCCACACCCCAACCACCAACACCACACCCCCCACCCCCCCCACCCTCCCCCAACCCCACACAACCAAACCCAAACAAACCCCACCCCCCCCCACCCCCCCAAACAAACCAACCAAACCAACCCCCCCCCCCACCCACCCACACAAAACAAACCCACCCCCCCCCCCCCACACAACCCAACCAAAAACCTAACACCACCACCCCAAACCCCACACAACCCAACCCAACCCACCCCACCACCCCCCACACACCCAACCAACCCCACCACCCCCCCCACACCCTAACAACCAAAACAACAACCCCCCCCCAAACAACCCAACCCAACCCCACACACCCCCCACCCCCCACACAACCAACCAAACCCACCCCCCCCCCCCCACACAACCAACCCAACCCCACCCCCCCCCCACCACAAAACACCAACCCCCCAACCCACCCCACCCCCCCCCCCCACACAACCAACCCAACCCTCCCCCCCCCCCCCCCCACACACAACCCAACCCCACCACCCCCACCCCCACACAAACCAACCAACACCCCCCCCAACCCCCCAACAACAACACACCCACCCCCCCCCCCCCCCACAAACCAACCCACACAAACCCCCCCCACCACACCAACCCTACCCTACCACCCCCCCACCCCACCAAACAACCACCCCAACAAACCCCCCCCCCCCAACAACCCACCCAACCCACCCCCCCACCCCCCACACACCAACCCAACCCAACACCACCCCCCCCCACACAACCCAACCAAACCACACCACCCCCACCCCCCACACAACCCAACCCCAACCCCAAACCCCCCCACCCAAACCCACCCACCCACACCCCCCCCCCCCCCCCCACACACCAACCAACCCACACCCCCCCCCCCCCCCCAACACCCAAACAAAACCAAACCCCCCACCCCCCATAAAACCCAACCCAACCCACCCCCCACCCCCCCCCAAAACAACCAAAAAAACCCAACCCCCACCACACCCACCCCACCCACACACAACAACCCAACCACCACCCCCCCCCAACCACCTAACCCATCCTCACTAATACAAAATACCCACCCCACACCCCATCCCCCACCACCCCCCCCCCCCCCAACCACCCCCTCCCACCCCAAACCCACCCACCCCCCCCCCCACCCCCACACCACCCACACCACCCCCCCACCACCCCACCCCCCCCAACCCCCAACACCCCACCCCTACACCCACAACCCTAAAACCCCCATCACAACCACCAACCACAACAAACATCACCCCCCCCCCCACCCCAAAAACAACCACCAACCCACACCCACCAACCACCCCACCAACACCCCCCCAAAAACCCCACTCACACCACCAAACACAACCCCCCAAACCCACCCCAAACCCAAACCCCCACCACCCAACACCCACCACACCAATACCCCACACCTACCACCAATACACCCCCACTCAAACACCCCTCATAAACCCAAAAAAATCACCAAATTATAAACCACCCCAAACCAACCAACACAACCCCCCACTAATTCAAACACCCCACCAATTCTATCTACCCATTTTTAAAACAACCCTCCCAACCACTCATTAAAATAAACTACATTACCATCCCACACTCAATAATCAAACAACACAACACCTTACATAAAACTATTATAACACATCCTTAAACCCATCATAACCAACAAACCCTAATAACCCAAAAACAACAATACACCCAACAAAAAAAACACTCATTAATAAACTCATAACACCCACACAAAACTATACATAAAACACATACAAACCTACCTACACACCACTCCAACCCCCCAACCACTCATCATCCAACACATACCCCTCCAATATATATACACACTATTAATCAACACCACTCATTACATCCCACCACCAACCCCACTACCACACCACAAACCACCACCAACCATCCACCCCCTCAACCAACCCCAAAAAAAACACAACCACCACACCATACACCCCACCTACAACCCCATACCACCCCTCATCCACCCCCACAAAAAACCACACCAAAACAAACCACATAAATCACAACCAACATAACCACTACAAACCCCTCAAACACCCACAAACAACCCACCAACCACAAACAAACCACCCCACAACCCTAACCCCACCAACCCCCAACCAACACCACCACCACCCACCCCAAAACCACCCCCACAACCACCCCACCCAAAACACCCCCCCCCAACCCAAAAACCCCCCCCCCCACCCCCCACTAACAACCAACACCTACACCCCCCCCCCCCCCCCTACCCCCAACCCCCAAAAACCACCCCCAAAAAACCCACCACCCCCACACCCCACCCCTAACAAACACCCCCCCCCCCACCCATATACCCAAAAACCACCCACACCCCCAACTATCCCCCCCCACCCCAAACCACCCACCCCCCCACACCCACCACCCCACAAAACAACACACCCCCAACACACCCACTCCCCACCCCCCAACCCAACAAAACACCCACCCCCCACCACCCCCACCCCCTCCCCCCCCCACCACACAACCAACCCATCCACCAAACCCCCCCACCCCCAAACACCAACAACCCAAACCCCCACCACCCCCCCAACAAAACCAACACAACCCCACACCCCCCCCCCCAACCCAACTCTACCCTAACAATCACAAACACCCCCCACCCCCACCACACATCCCCTCCCCCAACCACACCCCCCCCACCCTCTAAACCCAAACCAACCCCACCCCCCCCCCCCCCCAAACACCAAAAAACCCCACCCCCCCCCCCCCCCAAATAAAACCAACAAACCCCCCCACCCCCCCCACAAAACACCCAACAAAACCCACCCCACCCCACCCAACACACAACAACAAACCCACCCACCCCCCCCCCCAACCCCCCCCCCAAACACCCAATCACAACCCTCCCACCCCCCCACCCAAAAAACCAACCATACCACCCCCACCCACCCCCCAATAAAACCAAACCCAACCCAAAACACACCTACACCCACACCCCAACCCAACCACACACCCCAACCCCCCCCCAACCCCTCCCAACCATAACCCACACACACCAAACCACACCAAACACACACACACAAAACACCAACAACACCAAACCAAAACCCCACACCCCCCCCACCCCCCCCCCCACCTCTCCCACCCCCCAACCCCAATCCAACCCAACCCACCCCCCCCACACCCCTCTCCTCCTCACTAACAACCCCAACCCCCACATACTACACATAAATACATCTCAACAAAAATTAACAAAACATACCACCAAAAAACTCTTCTCACAAATCCTAACACATTACCTCATAACCCCCCCTTATAACTCTCCCCCCTCACCCCCAAACTACACACACCCAAATCCACATACCATCCCAACCCTCTACCCAAATACAACACCCCATCTCCCCAAACAAACCTAACCCCACAACACCAACACCACCAAAAAACACCCCCACAATAACCCACCACCTACCCCACCCAACAACCACATCACAAACAATCCAAAATACCACCCACCCATATCCCACACCCCCTCCTCATACCCACTACCACCCCCCCAATCAACCCATACCTCATTAACCAATCACCACCCCCCCCATTCCAACCCCCCTCTCAAAACCCAAATCACCCCCCACAACAACCCCTACCAATATAACCATATCACACCCCACCATTAAACCCCCATCCTCATATCCCAATAATCACCCCACCCATTCACACCATCTCAACCCCTAACACACCCACCCCCTACCAAACCCCCATCACCTTCCACCATAACCCCACCACCATACCCAACCCCCCCTCCTCATATAACTATCACACCACCCATACAAACCCCCTCATAATTTCACCAATCACACCACCCCCATTCACCCATCCTCATTAACATATCACCACCCCACCATTCCAACCCCATCCTCATTAACCCTATCACACCCCCACACCCATTCCAACCCCCATCCTCCTTAACCATATCACACCCCACCCATTCAACCCCCCATACCTACATTAACCTATCTTATATATCAACCCTCCAAAAAAACCACCCCACAAACAAATATCTCCTTTTAACAATACCATCTCCCAACACCCCCCCTCACCCCCCCCACAACCACACCCCACAATATCCCACCCCAAAACCAAAACATACCCATACCCAACAAATCCACATTCCCCACATAACCAAACTAAATTACCCAACCCTATAAACCTAATATAAAACCTTCCTAAATTCTAAAACCCACCCATATAAACATATCCCCCCCCCTATTCAAATACTAAATAATTCACAAAAAATACTCTCAACATTATTCCCCCAATCTCAACCTCAACTTTTATACATATTCCCCTTCCCCCATTAAATCACCATCACACTCTTTCCTCCCAACTCATCTCCTCCCAACTCTCCCTCACCACACTCTTTCCCTCCCACACTCTCTTCCCTCCCCAACTCTTTCCTCCCCAACTTCCCTAGAGTCGTAGTGTGTGTGTGGTCCCTCCAACTTTTTTCACATTTCCTCCACATTCTCCCTACAATCTCCTCCACTCTTCCTCAATTCTCCCCCTCACAACCACACTCTTATCCAACTCTTTCTCAACTCATTCTCCAACTCTCCTTAACACAACCTCAACTCTCCATCCCAATTTCCTCCCAATCATCCCTCCACACTCTTTCCTCAACTTTTCTACACCTCTCCTACACAACTTTTTCCCTCACATCTCTCCCCTCCAACTTCTTTCTCCCTCTTTCCTCAACTCTCTTCCTCACCTCTCTCCACACTCTCCTTCACATCACTCAACACACAACACCCACTACTATACCACCTCTAACCATCAAATTTCCTTAATCTTCCTCCAACTACTCTCTCCAACTCTCTTCCACTCTCTTCCTTCACACTTTCTCTATACTCTCTCCCTTCCCAACTCTCTCCTCCAACTTCTCTCCCAACTCGCTCCTTCCACCACTCTTCCTCCCACACTCACTTTAATACCACACTTTTTTTTTTCCTTCTCCTCTCAAATCCCTTTATTACAAACATACCCCCACACCCCCCAAACCCAAAACCCCCTTAACTCTTCATCATCCCTCTCCTTTTACTTTATCTACTATTACATACTATTCACCTCTTTATCTCCTTCCACCCCCACAACCACCTCCCTTTCCCCCACTTCCCAAATCTCTTCTCCATCTTCCCCCCTCCTCACCATAATCATCTCCCTCCTAATAAATATCTCTTCTTTAACTAAAAATATACCCTTTCTCATATCCCCACTACTCCATCTTCCTATCTCTCTCTAAATAACCCCCAACTTATTCCAATTACATCACCCCATAAAACCCATAACATCACTCTCATCATAAAATATACCCACAACAAATATTAAAACATCCACACCTTTCTAATTCTTATATATTAAAATATAATAATTTATCTAATTCCTAATATTCCATTAACCTCATTAACCCCCCTTATACTATCCACTCATCCCATTCTTATAATCAAAACTTCCAAATCCATACAAAACCCTCTCCATCATCCTATAACCTCAATCCACCTAATTCCTAATAAAACAACAAACCATCAACCATTATAAATATATCAAACTATCCCCACCCACCCCCCATTCCAAACTATTCCTCAATTAACCATATCACACCCACCCATTCCATCCCATCTCATTAAACATATACTCACCCACCCCATTCAACCCATCTCATTAACCTATACACCCACCCATCAACCCATCCTCATTAACCATATCACACCACCCATTAAACCCATCCTATTAACATATCACCACCACCATTCATCCCCATCATCCTCCTTAACATATCACCCCCCCCATTAAACCCCCCATCCTAATTAACATATCACACCCACCATTCCAACCATCCTCATTAACCATATACCACCCACCCCATTCCCAAACCAGCCTTGTAATCATTAACATATCACCACCCACTTCCCAACCCCATCTTATTAAACTATACCACCACCCATTCAAACCATCTACATTAACCATATCACACCCCAAATCCAACCCATACTCATTAAACCATTAACACAATCACCATTAACACAATCCTCTTAACCATATCACACCCACCCATTCAACCCCCCATCCTCATTAACATAATCACACCCCACCCATTCCAACCCCCATCCTATTAAAATATAAACACCCACCCCATTCCATCCACCATAATAATGAACCATATCACCACATCCCATTTCAACCCATCCTCATTAACCATATTCACTACTAACCCACTGCCATCCCCACATCCTATTACCATATACACACACCATTAAACCATCCTCATTAAACCATAGCAACACCACACATTAACCCATCTTATTAACCATATAAATACCACCCCTTCACCCCCCATCATAATTATCATTATAACAACCACCATTAACAATTCCTCTTAACCATTAACACCAACCCCTTTCTACAACATACTATTGAAATACAATAATACCACCCACCTCATTCCCCTACCCCACCTCTTAACCATTACAACCACCCCATTCCACCAAAACCCATCATCATTAACCATATCACCACCACACTAATTTCAAACCCATCTATTAACCATATCTACCACCCACCATTCATCCCATCCTATTAACATCTTTTTCACATAACTATAAAAAAACAACAAAAAAAATATTTCAAAAATACATTCAACCCCCCTACCACCCAACCACACCAACAATATCCTCCACCAAAACCCTACACAATAACTACAACAAATCCACATTCCCCACTAACAAACTAAATACCTCCCCATATTACAACCCCTTCTATAAACATTCTAAAACCACCATAATAACATACCTATTCAATACCTAAAAATTCACAAAAAATACTTCAACATACTTCCAATCTCACTCAATTATATACATATTTTCCCCATCTAAATATCAACTCTCCTCCAACTCTTTTCCTAACTTTTCCTAATCTTTTCTCCAACTCTCTTCAACTCTTTCCTCCAAATTTTCCTAACTTTTCTCAACTCTTTCATCAACTCTTTCCTCCACCTCTCCTCAATTTTCCTCCAAATCTTTCCTCCAATCTTTATAATCTTTTCTCCACAATCTCCCTAAACTCTTTCCTAATCTTTTTCTCCAACTCTTTCCTTCACATCTTTCCTTCCACACTCTCCTCAACTCTTTTCTCAATCTTTCTCCATCTTTCCTAACTCTTTCCTTCCACACTCTTTCCTCAAATCTTTCCCTTCCAACTCTTCCTCCAACTGTTATCCAACTCTCCAACTCTCGCCCTCTTCCCACACCACCATCCCCACATCCAACCCATCACAAACAACAAAATATATATAAATAAACACCCTTTCCCCCAACCCACCCAACACTACAAAATAACTAAAATAATAAACCCCACTCAACCCAAAACTCAACAACACATCAATTATACTCTCTCATAATTATCAATATTCATAACAAAACACACTCCTAAACCCTCCCAATATTCTCTAACCCCCCCCTACTTCATCCACAAACAAACCCCCCCTTTAATTATCCTCCCCCTTCTATACCACCCCAAAAACCATAATACTACATATCTCTCCCACACCTAATTCAAACATACCCTTCTTTTAACACACTATCTACCATAACCAATATTTAAATATTACTCAATTCCCACCCCCATACTACACCCAAACCCAAACACTTAACATTCCACCACCATTCAATTACCTTTAAACCTACACACCCCCCCCCCCCCCCTATACCTCCTCATTTAAAATTCCTTTTACAAAAACACACTCCCTAAACCCTTTCCTACTCTATCTCCCCCCATAACATTCCACCCCCCTTACCCACACCTACCAACCCCCTTCTATCTAACCCCCCCTCATAAAAACCCATATCAAATCCCAATACTCTCCTCTAATAACAAACCTCTATACCTAAAAATATACATCCACATCCTCTAAACTTAAACTACTCCCCTCTAACATAAATAACTATCCACCCCCCCATAATAATTCCCAACCCAAAATACACAAAACACCAACCAAATAAAAAAACCTAAAACCTAACTCTCAAAAACACACCATATTAAAAAAACTAACAAAAATTCACACCTCACTCACCCAATAATAAAACTACATTTACAACTACCACAATACAAAAAATATCATACCGCTAATTTAAAATTACTTAATATAACCCCACTTATCAAACATCCCCTCTTCTTTTTTCTTTTTTTATATACTAACTCACATTTATCTACATAATAAGCACCATCACAAATTAAATATCCCTATATACTCTCTAAACATCACATCTTATACTAATCACCATCCAAACCTTCCAAAAAACCAACAAACACACAAAAATCCTATACATATAATCTTCTCAACATCCCCCATCACAACCACCACCCCCCCACAAATACTCCTCATTAAATAAAATTTTTCAACCACAAATACAATACTTACTTCCTTACATACATTCTCTCATTCCCTCCTCTATTTCTAACTCACCACTCTTTACTTTCACCTCTAACCTATTTCTACAACCTCCCCTATTATTATTCCCATCCATTCCAACTTATCCTCCCACCCACCATAATACCAATACCTATAAACCATAAAAAACCCCCACATTTACTCAAAACCTCCTCCTCCTAACTAAACTACCCCAAACCCATCCACATAATACAAACAACCACTCACCAATCCTAAATTTACTAATTCCCCCTCGACAATCCAATAAAAAAACTCCTAGCCGCTTGCAACACAACCATAACTAACCACAAATCGTCAGTAGTTACCATCAAACTCCCTACTCCCAATATTCCCCTACCACTTAACAAGAGAATATCCAAACATATTAATAATAGAATACATTATTAATTTTTTAATAGATTAACATTATTTTAAAATATTATTATAAGCTTCTGTAACCAAAGTACACAGTTTGCCAAATATTTCAAAAGAAAAACACAAATCCATATAAAAGTATATTATTTAGTATTGATAATATATACTCTCTTTATAAGATGATATGTATCATACACACCACCAAAAAAATAATCATAATGATAAAAGTTAAGTAAAATCAGTTAGGCCATTTGGCACACATTTATCACATATTGAAACTAATGCCATATATCAACCACAAGTGTGCACTTATACAAAAATAACAAATCAGTCTTCACTTAACACCTTAGATTCAACAACAAATGACAATTATGCGTTTAAATTTTTCATCATTATGACTTATTCTTAATTGTGCATATATACATTTAAATTTTTGGCGAGGTAAAAAAAAACAATTTTTTTCCACATAAAATTCTTATATATACCAATGAAAGTTCAGTATTACCTATAAACATAAATACACCTCGAGGCGTTATAATTTTAAAGTCTCATGATGAGTAACAAAATAGCAAAGTAGAGAGTAGCCGCGTTGTATAGTGATACTGTCCGTTAGTTTGTCTAAGGAGTTCGGGTGGTGTTCTTAGATGGGCGATGATGGTCTGTGTCTCTAGATGGTCTGTCTCTCTAGATGGTCTGTCTCTCTAGATGGTCTGTCTCTCTAGATGGTCTGTCTCTCTAGATGGTCTGTCTCTCTAGATGGTCTGTCTCTCTAGATGGTCTGTCTCTCTAGATGGTCTGTCTCTCTAGATGGTCTGTCCCTCTAGATGGTCTGTCCCTCTAGATGGTCTGTCCCTCTAGATGGTCTGTCTCTAGATGGTCTGTCTCTCTAGATGGTCTGTCTCTAGATGGTCTGTCTCTATGGTCTGTCTCTAGATGGTCTGTCTCTAGATGGTCTGTCTCTCTAGATGGTCTGTCCCTCTAGAGGGTCTGTCCCTCTAGATGGTCTGTCTCTCTAGATGGTCTGTCCCTCTAGATGATCTGTCTCTAGATGGTCTGTCCCTCTAGAGGGTCTGTCCCTCTAGATGGTCTGTCTCTCTAGATGGTCTGTCCCTAGATGGTCTGTCTCTAGATGGTCTGTCTCTCTAGATGGTCTGTCTCTAGATGGTCTGTCCCTCTAGATGGTCTGTCCCTCTAGATGGTCTGTCTCTAGATGGTCTGTCTCTCTAGATGGTCTGTCTCTAGATGGTCTGTCTCTAGATGGTCTGTCTCTAGATGGTCTGTCTCTCTAGATGGTCTGTCCCTCTAGATGGTCTGTCCCTCTAGATGGTCTGTCCCTCTAGATGGTCTGTCTCTCTAG